GCTTGTTTTGAGATTTCGTTGGCTACTTGAGACAACCAGACACAGTAAATAAGCGATATCCACTCAGAAATAATTAAACTGTGCCATTTGAAATTTTTGTGTAAGTCGCCAACTTTTCATCAGCATGCAATTATCATGCAATCCTAACAACCGCGGCCCTCAGAATAAATGAATCTATCAAACGGCAGGTAAACTGCAATTGGCTCTGAATGATCGGCGATGGAATGAATTGTTCCGTCTTTCTTGGAGCCCCAAGAAATTAGTGCATTTTAAAGGGGATTGTTTTGATCACTGTCAGGCGACTTTTTGAAGAAAAATGCCGCAATATATCTAACCTCACTTCGTTTTAAAATACTTGGTCGTTTCTAACTTAGGCCAAGTGGCGAAGTCTTTCACTGTTGCTCAAAAGTTTCTGTCCCACGTTCAGCAAAGACAAGAATGTCGCGCTCTTAATTTGTTGAAGAGGGTGCTCAGCTGACCACTTCTCGTACTTCAGTGCTTGTTTTGAGATTTCGTTGGCTACTTGAGACAACCAGACACAGTAAATAAGCGATATCCACTCAGAAATAATTAAACTGTGCCATTTGAAATTTTTGTGTAAGTCGCCAACTTTTCATCAGCATGCAATTATCATGCAATCCTAACAACCGCGGCCCTCAGAATAAATGAATCTATCAAACGGCAGGTAAACTGCAATTGGCTCTGAATGATCGGCGATGGGATGAATTGTTCCGTCTTTCTTGGAGTTTCGGTAAGGATCAAGCCAAAACCACTTGGTAGGAACTGCACGCGTGACCAATGAGTTATCTGAAATTCTTGTTTCGGTTCACCAACAAACCACCTGTAGATCATTGCGAGATTTATTTTAAACCGCTTGTTTCTGGTTTTGCCTGGTTATTTTGCCAGGTCAAATCGTTCTTTAGATGCTTGAGGGGTTCACTTAACGATCCGTATATATTCAGAGTAGGGTGAATTCCGTTACAGAAAGGGATGTTGCATTATTCCTTTGTTGTGGATCGTCTACTACATCAAATCCTCCCAGTTGAGATGTGAGTTTCGGTTGTATGTTGAAATAATATTGACTATTTGGAAAAGTTAATCCACTCTCAGCTTTTTACCTTCTGTCTCTCTCCAGCCGTGGTACACACAAAATCACTGAACGGAGTTATTTATAGCAGATACAATAGGAATTAACTTCAAGCGGGGATTTTTACGGTGAACTAATGTATGGAGAGAGATGTCGAGAATAGCGAAAAGTACAATTCAGTTGGTTGAAAAATTGGTCACCAAGGTCTGTCTACGGATTTCGTACTACTTCTATTTTGTCTAGATTAAGTTTATGGAATTGACATTTTGTAATTTTGAAGTTCACTTGTGAGATCTACTTGCGGACCATATTCTCAAGCAAGTGTCTGTCCTGAAATGAACAAACCGTCCGTAGGGTTCTCCTTAGAAGATCGTAGAAGTGCTAAGGATGTAATGCTGTTATAGTTAGAAGTATAAATAATGAGCTATGTAGATGAAATCGGTGAGATTTCGGTACGGCTGTTGCGCAGATGGAGTGAGTTGACCTTGAATCGAATACTCTTCATGATTTATCGCCTCAGTGCCTTTCGCCACAGAGTAAAAGAACAACCGAATAGTTCCCTTAAAACCTTGTAATTTTTCAGTAGAAGAAGCTGGTACATCTTGTTCTTTGACGTATAAACTGTAAGTAGTCTGATCGGAACTGCCAATGCCTCAAACCAACCCACGGGTCCGGAAAGTTGTAAAGTGAGGAGTCATTCAAAACAAGATCACCGAGCACAAACTGATAAATCAGGGGTTAGCGGTGAATTGTTTAGAGCTCATATGTGATTGCCTAGCAACTTAAAAGGTCTATTCTCGCTTGGATTCTATCACCATTCTAATACCTAAAAGTGCACAAATTGTCACACAAATTGTCACCCTGAGTAGACACTCACCTAACTTTCAGGATGGCATAAATAATTAGTAAGTCTGACAGGCTTTAAAAAAGTAAGACCGGAGTACATTGTGTGGACTAGTGATGTTACCCCTAATATACCGGACTGTTAGCACAATGGAGGGAGGTTTTATCATTTTTCACGTTTGCTCTGCATCATTGTGGCTCATGCACAAGACGTAGAACTGCAGTCTACATTAGTGGATATTATCCATCCTCTGGAATTTTACAAGACGCGATAAAAATACACCCACCTCCTAGAAGAACGTGTATGATGTAGAGACATTTTCTTGTTTTCCCGGGTTTTCTCATTAGTTTAACTGATCACTCATAACCATTCATAACGCTGCATAAACAAATTACGAGGCACCGTCGCTCAACTACGCACCGATTAATTAGACCCTATTGGCGATGAAAAATCCGCTACAAAATTGTCAGGCTCGGCGAGCAACTGAGCTGTCAGATAGTCACCTTTTACGTCATTTTATGTTGTCATCACTACTGATTTGAAGTCAGTCTGAAATTGAAAACAGTCAAATTATTGATGTCATTGTGATTTATTTTGACATAAGACTTCAACGGTTAGATGCTTGTCATCCAAACTCAGAACTAGCAGAAAAAAACGGGTTATCCTTCTTCGCGGTTCAAGTGCTCAACTTTGCTTACGAGCACAATTGCCGTTCGCCATTGGTAGGGTAACATTCGTCCACCTTCACAAACTTTGATAACGTTCCTCGGTATTAAAATTAATTTCCACTAGGTTTTCCTTGTTAACTTGCATTATCTTGTAATATCATCAATCAATAGAGAATAGTTTGTTAAGGTAAACAACAAACCAGCTGAAACCTGGAAACGAAATCCCAACCCTCGGAGCGTGAGTTCTTTGACTCCCAGCTAGCTAGAGGGCTGTCAAAACTGATCTCAAAAACGATCATGTATCCTTGCTTACAAGTGGTGCAACCAACCTAACTCAGTTCGATTTACCAACCATTCGAGCGTGTTGGTAGTAGTGTGAATTAAAAATTAAGTGTGAAAATAGCGAGATGAGCAGACCGCTCGTGTTTAATCGCACAAATTGATCGTCCCTAATTTGGTTGTGCACAAAGTTATTTCAGATGCCCCCAAAAGGTCATTCTGTCCTATTTTAGAAATCGTCTGTATCTCCAATGAGGATACCTTACTAAACGGTAAACAGCTTTTAAAACTGTTGTGTCACCAGGGCACGTTTAGACTGACTAGGAGTACCCCCTAATTAAAGACAAAATATTGCCAAAGGGGAGCGACAACAGAACTTTCTTCCTTAGAGAACAGTTGAGTTCCCTTTAGATTATTGTTTTTCAGCTAGATTGAGGTAAATAATTTTTGTTTATTTCACGGACTTAAATTCAATTAAAACAGATCCAAAGCGAATAGCAATTCTAATGGCGAGTTGGAATAAAGGTGAGTACTTTCGACTCTGCAGAAGATATTACCTTAACCGCATTTTGTGACTCATACCAATTCGATCCGTTTGAATGTAATCGAGTGCTTGCGGTGCTTCTTGGTATAGCAATATAATGAAATAATTGTCTTGTTTTGAAAAGCAAGCAAGTTTCAATCTATCGATGTCCTACTTCTGTTTCAACGGTTCACAATAGTGGATGGATTTAATTGCTCTAAACTCAACAAAAAATGTTTATTCAATTCAGATTCCAGTAGCCGAAAAGTATCACTGTTTGGGAAGTGGAAACATGTCGTTTTTAATTCCTTATTTAATAAAGTAGTATGTAGTCTGCGTATATACAACATGAGTCAGGGTGGCCAGTCCAACAACTATTCAATAAGTAAGTTGTCCAATCAGTAATTTGTAAGAAGAAAGTAGCATTTCTTTTGAATTCGAAAGTTGTACTTATAAAGACCTTTTGAGATACTCTTTTCACGTCAAAATTCCTTCAAACATGCTTCCTGTTAGACGGAGGATTAATGTTGATTGAGAGATGCGTAAATTTACATCCACACTGTTTTCGTTCTACCAGTCCTCTTGGAACAACAAATTATTGTAGTTGGATTCAAGCCTGTCAGGAGTATCAGGATTCGATGTCTGTGGGGTCAAAGTGCTCCCTGGGCCTCCGCTCACAGATATCGAGTACGCAGGCGACATAGCTCTTCTGGGATCCGACCCCGTGGTAATGCAAACACTATTAAATAATCTAATCTAAATCTAATCTAATCTAAATCTAATCTGCCTCGCGGTTCGGTATGCGCTTCACACCTGCAAAGTTTAAAGTGCTAATGAAGGACTGGGTGGGCCCGAACCCTAGCCTCGTTCTTGCGGATGAACCGATTGAGGTAGTAGACAAATTTGTTTACCTGGGCAGCTGTATCAGTCCCGGTGGTCTCACGAAAGATGAAATTTCCACCGGATTGGGAAGGCCAGAGCAGCTTTTGCGAACCCACGTCACCTGTGGCGTAGGCGTGACATCAGCTTCTCTGTCAAGCGTCGAGTTTACAATGTTGCGGTGCGCTCCATATTACTATATGGATCAGAAACCTGGCCGCTGCGCGCCGAGGACGTCAATAGACTTTCAGTGTTTGACCATCGACGTCTTCGGAGCATTGCCCGAATCTGGTGGGAACACCGGATCAGCAATTCTGAAGTACGTCGAATGGTATTCGGGAGAAACAACTCACCCTCGATAGATGAACTGATCATACTGCATAGGTTGCGCTGGCTTGGCCACGTGTTGCGTATGCCAGTCGACCGACTTCCTCGAAGGGCTCTTTTCGCACAACCACGTGAAGGG